ACAATGTAAGGCATTGATTTTAACAGGCCAGCTCAATGTCAATCTATAATGCCAATTAGAGCAATTTATATATGCAGTTGCTAATTGTTAATGTTTAAAATTAATAGGGGCGTGCCTTAGTCGTTGTTGAAGGGATACTTTGATTTATCATGGGGATGTGTTCAGCCTGTAATATTCAGCTTATAATAATCAGAATAAGTAGAGTGGAACGAACAAATTGTAAATATTGTTGAAATTTACTTTTTAACCAAGAACAATTAATCGAAGAATGTTATTTTTTATTGGATTTAGCTCTGAGCATCCGATAGCCATTTAAGAATTGTGAAAAATCTAAATATTCGTTAAAAGTTTTACGTTTGAATTTATTTGAAACTCCGTTGATTTTACTTACTATCGTAAACAAAGTAAATCAATATCTTGACAAAAATTAAAATACTATTCCATAAATTCATCGCTTACAAAGAAGCCGTAAATTATAAAATTAGCCCAAACGCATTAACGATGTGTACAAGTGTGCAAACAGACATTATGAAACAGTAAGCGATTACGTACGCTTGAAACACGAGGAGATTGTTAATACTTTTTTTTTTTTTTTTTTTTTTTTTTTGGTGTCAATTGTTCGTAATTAGCATGGGATGCGCACACGTATATGGATGGGGGGTTTTTTTTATTATTATTATTATTATTATTATTATTATTAATTATAAATGAAGATAAATGTAGGTGGTATACGAGGTAGAATTTATTTTATTCGTAAATATCAAAAGTATGTGACTGTCTAAGATTGCATAATATTTATATTGGTGTGTGTGAGCGCAACAAGTTGCGAGTCTTATAAAATGACTATATTCTTATGACTCGTCATTTATCGCAATGACGTTTTCGAGAGAAAAGCATTTTGTTACTTTTTCCCACTTATTATACTTTAGATAATATAAAGATCATATAAAGATTTAATTTTTTACAATAATGAAAATTCACGGAGAAAAGTGTTTGAATGTAATAAATGCGTTTATGCAAATAATCATGGTCTTGGTAATTGGAAAGTATTTATGATGTGTGATACAAGTCGTTTTGATAATTATCACATTCATGATAAATTCATCATCGGTGCTTTACGTTACTTATACGAGCAAACGGCAACGTATCGGCAATTGGCATGCATCAATTACCTTGTACGTTCATTTTAATATGTAATTATTTATTGCTTTCAGGGAGGATTCAGATTGCAGATTTTGGACGCCCTGGACAGGCCTCTAGTCGACCTTACCCCAGTAACTAAGCAAAGCGAATTTGTCGAGAATGATGTGACGTAAGTTTAACTCTACAAGCGTTTACGTGTTGTAAATTGCATTTCGACATATTATTTTTCTCCTGTGTTTGTTGTTTTCTCCAATTTATAAATGATTTACGAGCAGGGCTCAAAGCTACCTGGTGGAGTTGCCCGCGAACTTCACGTGCACGGACTGTACCGTCCGATTACTCAGGGAAGCCGAGGAATGGGGAACCTCTTATAGGTTTTGGTCTTGCGCCGATATTGATGTAAGTCCATTCGCGTAAAAGCTACTAAATTTAATTATTACCTCCTTCCGTCTAACTGCGAATTAAAAGAGAAAATAATCATGGGCTAAAGTATGCAATTATCGCGACTAAATTACCATCCCAATCAGTCATATCCAAATTATAATAATAATGTTCTGGTTATTGCAATTATTGGTTATTGAGTTTATATTTATAATTTTAATTAAGAATATTTTATGCCGTTTTAATGTATCGACACGCATAACGTGTATTGCGAATACAAGCGTTCATTAATAAACAGTTATATTACATAGAATGTAATGCAACTTTGTCAGAGATAATATTTTACGTTACGCAATCTCATCGATAATGTTGGGAATGTCACCGGCACTGAGATTTATAATCAACCGTAACAAAAATCAACTTTTTCATTTATAAACTATAATAACGTCCGTCGAACGTTTTGTTTTTTACTTTGTCATTTCATTGATATCGCTTGTCATTTGCCTCGCGGACCAAGTGAAACGTCGCAAAAATTCCTACCTACGGACTTCCTCGTCGTTCACGACCAAAGACAATCGTCGACGCTCTCGACGCAATCGAAAAATGCTGGAACGAAAAGTCGATCGCTTCCTTTGGTTACAGATCGTCGATAGAAAGTCATACAGGGAGGATTGCAGTGGTCACGGACGTTCGGTGTTGGGCCGATGTAGGTGCGACAGGTTTTTCCATGGTGCGAGGTGCCAGTATCGGGAGGAATGCCTCGATGACTCGGACTGCGGCACCCAGGGGGTCTGTATCGACAACGGCGGCACCACGGCTCCGACCAAGCACTGCTACTGCAACATCGGATGGTTCGGGCCAGGATGCTCGAAACGTGAGTATTGCCTCCAGCGGCCCATCTACCAGGCTCACCAATGCATCGACCGCACGTATAATCGGCGTATAATTTGTGCATTAGGCTCGGTGATGAAGAACGTCGACCTCGACCTCGAGTCTTACACAATGAAGCGCTTTTCCGAGGACTTTACCTTCTACTGGCGCATCCTCAAGGACACAAACGAATTCGAGGGCGTAGCGGTGGTGAACGGAAGTTCGTGGGTCGGGGTGGGCTGGCGGCCGAGCAGCCTCACCTCGGCCTGCAGGGCGATCCCGGAGATTCGCGAGCGCGGCAAGAAGGGCGGCCCCGAGCCCCTACCCCGTCCGGAGCCCAAATCCGAGCCGGAGCCAAACGCGGAGCCGGAACATAAGACGGAGTCGCCGGAGCCGGAGCCGGAGCCGGAGCCGGTGTCGGAGCCAGAGCCGGAGCCGGAGCCGGAAATCAACCCGGGGACGACGCAGCTCAAATTCGGAGGCAACAACAAGCGCTCGGCGAAGCACGACGCCGGTGTCACGCCTCGGCCCGGCAGCGACGTCACGGTCCAGACGAGCGTAACCTACCGCGTCAGCACAAAGCAAGGTAAGTGAGGCCCATAAACGATTTTACGAACGCTTAGGCCCGCGCCTTTCTCCAACAACGGTTAATCACTGCGTTTGTCATTTTCCGCCAGGTCGCAGGAGGAGATCGCCTCAGCCTGATCCTCAACCAACCGGTAAGTGCCCATGTCTAAATTTAATAATGTAAGATCGAGCGACGTAACGATGTTAGTTGAGCGCGTAAGACAATTCATTTTAATGACCATCTAAATGACGTCTCACGACGAAGAGGCCAACAATAATGATAATTTAATAACAATATTATTAATAACAACAACAAACAAACAAACAAACAAACAAACAACAAACAAACAACAAACAAACAAACAAACAAACAACAAACAAACAACAAACAAACAAACAAACAAACAACAAACAAACAACAAACAAACAAACAAACAAACAACAAACAAACAACAAACAAACAATAACAACAATAATTACAATGTTCGTCCTCTTCTTCTGCGATGCTATTCCTCCTTGTGAACCGCAATCCGAAGGCTCGAATCATCGCGGTGAATTCCCTCTTGCAAGGCGTAGCCCTAATTAAGTTTGACACGGCCTATAATCATCACTGCGTCCAAGTTTTTTGCCAAAATAATAGTCACTATTATTAAACAAAAAAATAAATAAAATAAAAGCAACAACAACAACAACGACAAAAGAAACAACAACGTATCACGCATTAACCTTAAGCAGCATTATGGTCTTAAGGGCCATGTGCAAAGTAAAATATATAAAAACCAAGCTTATTTTACAGTGCGTACAAGAATTGCATGGAAATAATTTAATCAAACCCTACGATTACATATCATCCAAGAAACACAAACGCTTGATCAAAACTGTTTATCTAAATGCTTTATATACCTACATACATACATATGCATCTATATATATATATATGGTTGATGATGCATCATACGCATTATAAGCCATTGGCTATTTTCATAAATTTCTATTGAAAAATTGAATGTAGAAAATAGAAAAAAATTAAAATTCTAAAATATGAAAATAAAACATAGAATTTGAGAGGAAAATTCACATTGATTTCCTTATTCAATTAGTATTTTTAATCGATTGAAATGTTATTTAACAGCAGTATTGAATCGAACGTTGTGATTTTGCACTTTGAAAACTGCACAAACATGATAAAGCAAACAGAGTATAGATAAGACCAAAGAGTAAACTAACATAAAACATGTAAAAATAAGATATTAACGACGTAGAAAGTAGGTGCTGGTATGCCGTATATCAATGTTTTCTTATCTTATTTTTTTAAGTTCATTTTTGTTTTGTTTTTTTTTTGTTTGTTTTGTTTTTTTTTGTTTTTGTTTTTGTTTTGTTTTAATTTTAAACGGCAATTACAGTATAAAGACAATAAATTCGGCCATAAACCCTCTAATATAAAATCGATCAAACCTTTTAATGTAAGATGAACAAAATTCAACTAAAAACATGCACTCCTCGGGGAAGACTTGCGCTACCTGCAGATTATGTAAATAACTGATTAGCTTCGTTGCTTTTCAGCGAAAGCAAGATATTATCCTCTAATTGTTCTCCGCTCGCGGAAATATATATATATATATATATATATATATATATATATTAAGAACGCATACATTTTCCTTTCGCACGCCGCGTACCATGCCATACATAATACATATGTATATGTATATGTGTATGTAAATACATATATATATATATATATATATATATATAAGAAAAAAGTAAATGAAGGTTCGATAGAAAATAACTTTCCCCGTATTTAAGTACCCTTAGTAGAAAACAAAATTTATTAATAACTCACGAGGTGAAGGTGTAAATGGTGGCATGTGTTGCTTTTTTGCACAGGGGAGCCAGCCAGCGAGCCCGAACCCAACTCAGAGCCAGAACCTAAAACAGAACCAGAGCCCAAATCTGAACCCGAATCCAAATTTGAGCCACAGTCTAAAATCATTTCCGTAAAGAAATCCGTGCAAGAGTCTAAATTTGAACCGAAATCCGAGCCCGAGCCAAAATCTGTACCCGAGCCACAATCCAAACCAGAGCCGAATTCCGAGCCCGAGCCGAAAACCGAACCCGAGCCGAAAACCGAACCCGAGCCAGATTCCGAGCCAGAACCCAACTCTGAGCCCGAACCAAAATCCGAACCCGAACCTTCGTCCGAGCCTGAATCGAAGTCCGAACCCGAGCCCTCGTCAGAGCCCGAGTCGAAATCCGAGCCCGAGCCAAAATCCGAACCCAATTCGGAACCCGAACCAAACACAAAACCAGAACCCAATTCCGTGCCTGAGCCCAAGTCCGAACCCGAGGCAAATTCCGAACCCGAGCCAAATGCCGAGCCCGAGCCAAATTCCGAACCCGAACCGAAATCCGAACCGGAACCTTCGTCCGAGCCCCATTCGGAAGATTCGAAACGACAGTCTAATGCAAAATCAGGATCACCCAAAGGTAAATTCTTGCAATCTTTTTCAAAACACAGTCTTATTATCTCAATATCTTTACGAACTTCTTTTACATTATTCGCCTACGTCTCAAAATCTTCTATCTCGCGCAGATCGTAATTTTTATCTCGTGACTGTGCTTATTTACATCTCTAAGCCTATTATTTCTCTCACGATATCCTTAACTTCACCATACATTCTTCATGTTCGCCCGACATCCGTATATAATATTATATTTAATAAATAACAAGTTGGTCAAGCAGTGCATGGACTTCATAAATACACACCGAAACACGATTTCAATCCAATGGACTGTACCGACATCGTAATTGGTACGGCCCGTGGTATGAGGCATCGGATTGGTGATTATTACACGCGCGACAGATCGACGCCGCGTCTCGACACTTTCTGGGGCGGTAAGGACAGTCTCACGGCCGCCATGGGCTTCGAAAAGGACGGGCTCACGACGATCCTCTTTAGACGAAAACTCACCGCTGACGAGCACTTCAGTGACCACGAGATTATCGATGGAACGATGCAGGTGGGAATGGTCGTTTTATTTCACTATTATTATCTTCTATCAGTTGGTCAGAAATGCTTCTGTCGGAGATTCGAGGCGAATAATCGAGTGGCCCTTTTACGATTAGGTGATTTGGGCTAGAGGCCAGGAGGCGGGTAAATACGTTCACGTCCCGAGCAGTGGCATTGAGCAGAGTAAGGCTAGTGTCAAGGACTTTTACAAGCCTGACGAGCTTAAGTATCACGGGCACAAATCCCAACGAGGCGTCACAGCCATTAACTTTTTCGGTAAGTTTCTTCGGGCTTTTATATCAATTACACGCTCCCAAGCGTACACACAGACACGCCGAGTTCAAAAGGTAAGTAAGTTGGACAAAAACACAAAAACACAAAAACACAAAAAAAAAAAAAAAAAAAAAAAAAAAAAAAAAAAAAAAAAAAAAAAAAAAAAAAAAAAAAAAACAAAAAAAAAAGAAACAAAAAAAAAAAAAGAAAGAAAAAAAAATGAATAAAGAAATACAAATAGCAAAATAGCATTACCATCGATAAATCATATATAAATTTATTATATTCTTACGATAATTGAAGTCACGTTATTAGCTACGTTTTTCACATAAACAATATGTTTTATTATTGAATTAAGATTATTTGGTTAAGCCTCAAGTACTTTTTGAAAAATTTAAACGATAAAGCACGTCAAATTCAATCTCTTCTTATTTATCATTGTCATTTTTAGAGGAAAAGGGAAGAGAAGATTTCGGCGGTGGTGTATCATTAGAAGGAGGAGGCTGCGGAGGTGAGTGGCATTACCCTAGGCATTGTGTCCCGGAAAATAGTACTTGCGAATACAGCATCAAATGGTTGTATAAAGCACGAAAGGTAGGTTCGCAATTCCCTTGAAACTTAAAACAAATTCACAATCATCTATAGATCATCTTATGTAATTGTAATTTCGCACTGCTTAGGATGAGATTTCTTTCACAATTGTAACAAAGAACATCGACACATGGACGGGCATTGGATTTTCAAAAGATGAAAAAATGGTCAGTAATAATAAATTGGCAATAAAATAAAACAATATTACAAATAACATAAGTAAGCCGAGGTAAATAAAGAAATAAATAAATAAATTCCGTTTTATTTATAAAATTGTTTATTTATAGTCACAAACGGACGCTATCCTAGGTTGGGTAGACAAAACAAGCGGAAGGGCATTTTTAATGGATACTTGGATTAATGGCTACAATTCTCCTGTTCTCGATGCCTCGCAAGATATTTTCAACTTCAGTGGTCGAATCGAGAATGGTGAAACCACTTTGAGATTTAGTAGGAAGAGAGCGACGAAGGACAACCGTGATTTATCCTTTACCGACGATCAGTGCCTTCATCTTATGTTCCCTGTCAAGGGTGGCACCTTCAATCCCGTAAATAAGAAAATTCGCAAACACGAAACTGTGCCAATTGTTTCCGCACAGAAGGTCTGCATAAAGTCCTGCGGAATAGATGGTAATTGCTTTTGAATAATTCTGCCACACCATATATCTTTAAATACCATTTAATCCTTTATCATTCAACATATAATGAGCAAGTAAAGAAAGAAATTTAACCCTCGCAAGTAATCAATGATATTTTACAATTAACCTGTCCATTAGCATCTTACATTATCCATGTATATACATATACATGTATAGAGTGAGGGGTGGGGTGGGGGTGAGGGATGGTGGTGGTGGCGGTGTTGGTGGGGGTGGGGGGGGGGGGGGGGGGAG